TTCCAGCGATCTATAACTCGGCGCGATAGACGAGTTTCCGTCCTAATCCTATCAGACCGTGGTTTATGCAGTTTCAGTGGGTGACCGCGGAGACTAGGTAACGTAGCGGGACTAAAAAGCCCTGACAAGTCCGGGCCAATCTTACCCGTCAAAATACGATAAGTGAGAATCAGGTCCCCTCTTATCCTTCGGTAGTGCATGGAGTACATCCCCAAACTGAGCAAGCGTTCAGGATACGTCTGTCCCCGTAGACCCTGCACTAACCGAGTGCCCACTCGTAACACCCTCTCCAAGTCCATTTTGTCTCGGTTAAGACATGGTGGACAAGCCTGAATACAATATTCCAGGTGGGGTCGGACGAATGCCGAAAATAGCTTCACAAACAACTTGGCCGTTAAGATTCCGAAAGAGCGGCGGATAAACCACATCATACGAAACCCTCGACAAGCAGCCTTCTTCCAGTTGTCTCCAGAATGAAGTGCTGATGCGTGTACGACTCCTAAATCAACCTGCTGAGTGACAACAGGGAGTTCACCACCGCCGAGAACATATCGGGTGGGAGGATTAGCAGCTCCGATTCGGAGAACAGAGCACTTGGCCCTATTTATGGGCATCAACCATAAGATAGACCATTCCCAGAGTATATCCAAGGCACGCTGAATTGCCTCAGGACCCCCCGGGATATCCACAATATTCCAGAGCTTAAGGTCGTCAGCAAACATTAATGATGACACCCCTAGCTCTCCCGGCAAGTCATTTACATAGATCGCGAACAACAATGGCCCCAATACCGAGCCCTGCGGAACGCCACTAAGGACAGCTTGCCTGAGCGAAAGGCTACGCCCCACCCGTACGCACTGTTCCCTCCCCTCAAGGAAGGCAGACACCCATTGAAGGGCGCGACCAGATATCCCGTAAGATCTCAACTTTAGTGAGAGCCGAAGATGTGGAACAGTGTCAAAAGCTTTCGAAAAATCTACGAATAGCACGTCTACAGCGTGGCCACTCTCTACCGCTTCGGCCCAGCTTTCACGAGCTACAAGTAAATTAGTCTGACATGAAAATCCTTTGCGGAATCCATGTTGTGCAACACTGAGAAGGTTGAATCGATTCAGGTGGTTCTCCACTGAATCCCTTATCAGCTTCTCGAACAATTTGACTACTACGCTTGTCAAACTGACAGGCCGGTAGTTCGCGGGTAGAGCGCTGTCACCGCCCTTAAAAATCGGACAGATGATTGCCTCCTTCCATTCCGAAGGTAGGCTGCAGCTGTCCAGCGATATTGAAAATACGCACGTGAGCGGACCACTCAGCTCAGTGGCCAGTTCATGCAACAGCTTCGGATGAATGGAATCAGGACCGGAAGCTTTAGAGGGATTAATGCCTTGCAGTAGCTCGAAGACCTGAGTCTCCGTTATGCTAAATTCAGCTAAGCAAGAATCCTCTGGAACTCTTAAAACCAATTCAACCTGCGGTAAAGAGGTCTCCCGAGCAAAGACCGCAGTATACTGATCACTCAGTATACAAGCCTTGTCATAGTCAGTTTGCGCAGGGGTCCCGTCTGCTCGCAATAAAGCTGGTATAGACAATTTTGCCCCGCTGCGTCTTTTAACGTAAGCAAAAAACTTCTTGGGATTAGCTGCGGCCGAGTCCGCTAAACCCTGCTCGTATTGGAGACGAGCAGTTCTGAGATGTTGCTTACATTTATTTCTATTCTCTCGATAACTATCATAGGTACTGGCTGATGGAGCTGCTTGGTAGGTTCGCCAGCATCTAGACCGTTTCTTGAGTAGGTACTTGCCTGTGGTATCTATCCATGGAGGCTGTGCCCTTAACCCTCTTTTCCTAATGAGTGGAATATAGGGTGCGGAAACCTCCGTAAGGTATGCCTTAAATTTATCCCAGGCTAACTGGACAGAGTCAGCCATCGAAATCTCACAGTTCAGAACTGAAGCCTTAGTTCGCATTGCACTAAAGTCCGCCCGCCAAATATTCGGAAGTAATTCAACAGCGGTCTGTTGGTGCCTTGAAAGAGCACATCGAAAGGATATGCATACGTGATCGCTGGACCCTAGAGGTGCACCGCATGAAACGTCAGTCACGAAGTCCAGGGACTTAGCGAAAACCAAATCCAAAGTAAATGGCATTTGGTTGTCCATATACCTAGTGGGAAAGTCTACGAACTGGTGCAAAGGCACTTGGAGAGTCAGTTCAAGGAAGTCTGCACCGAATGTTCCTAATGCCGAATTGCAAGAAAGATCGGCCCAACAGACTTCCGGGAGGTTGAAATCCCCTAGAACTAAACACTTATTCGCAGGCTGAGTGCGAATAAAGTCAAGTATCCCCCTGGAGGAACTTCCAGGACTTCTGTATACCACTATAACTGTAAACTGGGTAGAGGAAGTGCACAAAACAGCCGATAGGGCTTCAACAGTCTGATCCGACGACTGGAATGTGCAAGTCCTCAACACATCTAAGTTACAGCTCACATACAGTACAACGCCTCCGCCTTGGCGACCAACGGAGCGATCAGTTCTAAGCAGCGCGTAGCCAGGTAAATATACCTCACCGTCCGTGATATCCGGAGACAACCACGTCTCAGTGAAAGCAAGTATGTCGGGACGAGATTTGTCTACAAGTAGACCCAACTCGTGCACCTTGTTCCTTAGGCTACGCACGTTGCTAAGTACTACCTCAAGGAAGTCGGCACGACCATCCCTGGGTCGTGCGCCATCAGGATTGGTTCTGATAGGGCGGAAAGTAATTTCCGGCTGACCACCTGAAAACCCACCAGACGGAGGCCTTGCTCACCAGCCGCCCGTCTAGTTTTGAGGTCTTTAATAGCCTCCTTTAACTTCAATCTATCTGCCAGTGGGAGGTCCGGCTGAACGCTGACACCACTACCCTTAAGTTTGAATGCAAATCGCAGTAACGATTTGCGTTCCTCCGGGGTAGAAAGGACTACGCGAAGTAGTCGGGGTCGTGAATTTGGCGTAGCGATAGGAACGTTCCCCAATCTGGTCAGCTTTCTGACAGTGACACCAGGGAAACCAGGTGGAAGCAGCTTGCTGACACACAGTTTCAGCCACTTGATGTCATCCAAGATGCGTTCCCTTGGGAGAACAGCCTCAGATTCAGTAACGTTACGGAATATAACGCAGATAACTCGAGCATTTCGGCTTCCTTGTATGTACGGACCGCCGAAAACTCACAAGGAAGGCATTGCCTACGACCAATCTTTTCAAAAGTAGGCACGCCGTAACAGAAGTTGGCCAAAGGCTTGGCCACTGTAATCCAGTCTACCTGAAGGGAACTAACAAACTACAGGTTTGAGGACACGTTTGTTGATAGAGTACGGAATTTAAACATTGGCGGGAACCATGGGCTTCGATGTATGTTTGTTGTACACATCCTGGAAACTGTCAACTTGCAGTAGCGGTAAATGCTCACTTTACCAATTTACCTCTTCCACAGTCTTTGCAGTAGCAAGTACGGTGGCCGAAATAAGAGAATGCTTGGAGCGCAACCGGCGGAGCACGTCACTCGTAATATGGTTGCAAAGGGCCCCAAGCTACTTACTGGATTGGTTTCCATAACATACACGATTGCTCTGCGTAATTTTTAAACTGGGAGACACTCAGCTACTTCAGTTTGCCGAGGCTTTGGGGACGCGTTGTCTGAAAATAGCCTGTACAATAAGACAGTTTTTGAGACAAGCATGGTCTTACAATGTTGAGGTCAGCGCTCTTTGCCCCACACTGACCTCTGATAGTGGTTTGCTAGTCCTTCCACTTGCCTATCGGAGTCAAGTTGTAGTGTAGTTTGAACAACAATGTCGGCTGAGTCTCTGCTCCAGCGTTGACATTAATCGGTGCAGTTTGACGTTGAGTCCCCAATTCACATGCGGTCCGACGAATGGAGCAGAGTGACACGTGTGACTCTGAGCCAGACGGAGACCCATGGATGCTTGCAAACCGACACAGCAAGCCACTTGGACGGTTTCAGTTTATAGAGCATGAGTCGGGTTTCCATTGGGCGCGCATTGATGAAACAAAGTGGGTTGTCCCTGGACTTATCTTCACAGACTACCTGTTGACTGCAATTAAAATCCTTATTTCACCTGCTGTGGGTTAGAATTGCTTCGATTGTCGCACTATCTGGGGATTTTCGATATATCTCTTAGCACTTACGGGCCTAGCACGCATGCATGATTAAAAAAGAAGCGTTGCTGCCAAAATTACTCAAATAAGTATTGCAACTCAAACACCGTTAGAAATACCTTATTATGATTTGCAAGTGAAATTTGGGGCCGTAAGGTTTTACCCGTACTGTTTCCATTGGCATGTGGATTCTAATTATCCGTTCTATTTCTGCATACCACGATTCTGGTAGACTAACTTGAAAGTTAACCTGCTTGTTGTTACTTGCGTGTCGTTGATTGTGGTTCAGGTGTTGTTGGCCACGACTAAGGGTTGTCAGGCAAGTAATCGGTTGGAAGTCCAATAATTGCCAGCCGATGTACACGGTGTAAGCTTTGAACATAGTTCACTCGAAATTGTGTAATTTGGACACGTTCGTTGATACAACCCCAATAATAATAATTGTTATTTATATTTTAGCCTTTTAAAAGGAGACGGCTTAATCTTAATCGTTTACATGCCCAACGTTCACAGTTCATGAAGCGCTCGTGCATTCTAAATCTTATATTGGCTTTTATAAACTTTTCATCATGTTTATCAACAACGGCAGCTAAATTATCAAATCGTTACTGATCCATACAAGCAGGAAAGGTCGATAAATTTGTTATGCCTTCTATCAAGAACAAACAGCCGTCTGGAAGTTCTCCGGTTTTCTGTGCAAGTGAATATATTCGCAGGATGCGGATCTAACGAATTTAATGCACGGTTTTCAGTTATTGTAAGTCAACCCTGACAATGCGCTTAAGAACTATGTTAGGCAAACCATAGCAAGAATTTTTTAAATTGTGATAAATCTTTTTCTGTCAATGTTAGCGGTTGTTTTAATCAGCAGCTGCCATTGGCCGTTATTTCATCGTTTTGTTGTCCTTCACGTATGCTGTTTTCTCATCTCAACTGATGGAGTATGATCCGGCATCCCCAACAGAGTATGTTTCGCAATTTATTTAATCTTTTCTCTTACTTTTAGGGAACCCGAAGATTTGCCGATTTCGCTGGATCTCTCCACTATACCTCTGCCTGGTAATATTTTTGACTACTGACATTGCATACTTTAGGTTCTTCTCCGATTACCGTCAGTTCGGCAAATGTGATTGACATTCCCCTCCCACCAGCGGACTTCGATGCACTGGAAATACCGCTGCCTCCTCCTGTTGCTGATGAAGTGCAGCATCCTGTCACTAACATCCCGCAAGTTGCAGTCCAACCTATGGAGCCTGATCAGCCCGAAGCAGAACCCCCTTCTGGTCCGTTAAAGTTCAGCCTACGGATAAGCTCTAAGCCTTTCAACAGTGATGCTTCTAACGAGCCAGGAATTTTCGAGTCTTCAAAAGACCAGAAACCCGACGAACCTCGCTTAATGCCGAAGCTGCAGGCCATGATGAAGCGCTCAAAACCTTCACAACTACCCGTTGGTGTGTTACCATCCAAAATCAAAGTACCCGTGACCGAAACAAAGACTGAACTTTTTCTACCTTCAAAAGAGGCTGATATTAGTGACAGCCTTTTGAGCGCCACTGAAGCAGCAAAGGCTGCCGCTGCGGCTTCCGGTCTTACCCTGCCCCAGCCCACTGTTCAGTTTAACCATCCAGCATCAACAATGTCTGATGCCGGTGACCTACAACAGTTGCTAAAGGATATCGTTAACAACGTTCAGGCGCCCTCTTCACTTCCATTGGATACGATAAGCACACGATCTGATATCTCTATCCCGAGCGCCGTCACTGCGTCCACCTTATCATACTCAGTTTCTGTGACACCGCATATTGCGACCTCCGTAGGAACAGCTCACATTCCGAACCTAATGAGCCTGAATGTTACTCCAGTCACAACGATTTCTTTGCAGCAAAATGCTGCCTCTCTGCTGCAAGACTCGGCTGCCATGGTTCGACATTCAAAATTGAGCTTATCTAACATGCAATACGTCAACCCACAGAAGTTACGTTCCGCTCAGATGATAGCGACTCCTTTGATTGCTAATCCTGCGATTGCTGCTCAGCCTCACCATAACGACGATCAATCGAAATCGAGGGATAGCCGTAAGCGCTCCAGGTCACGGTCAGCCAGACAGTCTAAGCGTTCTAGGTCTAGCCGGTCGCATTCCACCAGGCGCTCTCGTTCCAGAAGATCCAGGTCTACAAGACGTTCTCGTTCTCCTAGACGATCGCGCTCTCGAATACGTTCCCGTTCCGGTAGGCGCCAAAGCATTAGTCGCCGTGATCGCAGACGCCGCTCTTCTAGCTGTCACGATTCTCCACCTAGACGAGGAAGATACAACCGTCGTTCTCGTTCACGTCGTAGCCCTGAAGATCGTCACAAACGTGCTCGCGACTATTCGAGGACTAGAGAAAGAGATCGCCGAAGTTTTGATAGGCGGCGAACTCCCAGGGAGGCATTAAACACCAGATATGGTTTTCGTGGCGACAAGACCAATTTGAATTTCCGCCATCGATCTCGAAGCCCTTCCATTACTAGAGATCGTCGTATTCGCCGTCGATCAAGTTCTCGTAGCCGGGTCGACCGAAGGAATACTGCTCGATATGCGGTCGTTTCTGGCAGGGATCGGTCAGTAACAAACAACGGACGTGGAAGACAATCTCGAGAAGACTCTCACAGACACAGTCGCGCTTCAAACAGGAAAGGATCGGACTCTTCTAGGAAGCCTGTGAGTTCAAAGAAGTTACCGAGTGACGAAACTGCCTGCAAGCGCGCACTCACCCCTAGTGCTGAATCGGATTCATCCTCCAGCGAAAGCTCATCTTCGCGTGATAGCTCTTCGAAACGAGAGGATTCGCGGGGTGATCAAGAGGTTCGCTCATCTGCGAAACAGCCATCAGCATCACCAAAATCGGAGCAATCGTCCTCTTCTTCCCGCGAAAGCAGTGAATGTACGGGTTCCAGTGAATGGGAAAACTCTGAAGTGAAACGGGTTGACAGCGGAGATCCCAGCGAACCTGTATCTCCAAGACAGGAAACCAAAATGCATAGCGCCTCCTTATCTTCGAAGACTTCACGTGTGGGTAAGGTGTAAATCCTTGCGTTCTCCTCTCTCTGTAACAAAACTTTTCTCATCTTGAGTTACCGAGAGTTTGAAGCATGAACTCGTTAGTCATTTATTTTCTCCATCTACAAGTGCGTGATAGTGCTCAGACCTTCCACCGTTATTCGTTGGGTTTCCCCCAACCGATTGTACACTTCACGTTGAGAGTGATGGAACGACAGCATCGAATCATTATATCTGTAATTCTTGACCTTGTACATTTTGGCAATAAAGTAAATTCGTTTCGCAAACATGTTCTCGTCGAAAGTTACCCAGAGTGGCTCTTTGCTGCGTTAGATCACGCACTGAATAGTCCTGGTCCTGTACTTGGATGGAACATACAGCGCGGCGCATTTACTTCATTGCCTCGTAAGGCCTCCGTGGCTCGTTAATTCATTGTATGTTTTCTTCTTTTGATTGTTACGTCGATTAGTTCCTGGTAAACATCACTGTAAGCAGATTGCACTGGAATTGGTAAATTTTAGCAAGTGAGTGCTTTCGCCCGATACTTTACTCGATTGTCATACTAATCTAAGTTGCCTAGGTACGCGCTAATTTTCAGTTAGCAGGGGGTTTTAGTGACCCATGCTCCGCTGTTGCCCGTTCATTATTTGCTGTTTCTCGATTTGCGTCGTTTTGCAGGGAGCAACGATGAATGTGTTGTTATAGCTTCCGATTCTACGTCTATTCAACATGCCGTTGATTCGAGCGACTTGGTTCCCAACGAAGAGGTTGAAACTAAGGTCAGCTGTTTCGTCTCGGAGGAGCTTAACACTCATGGCGACCATAGGCAGTTTTCATTGGCAACAGGCGTTTTGACACAAAGTGACCAAGATATACCCTCCGATTCCATTTCCCCCGGGCAAACCAATGAGAATGGAGAGACGTTGGATGTAGTTTGCAGCGAAGTGTGTCTTCCGAACGCGGAGGCCGTTGACTTAAGAACGTCTTCGAACTTTCCTCGTCACCAATTGGAGAATCCAGACTTCGACATCAGTATACCACCAACTCTTCTAAATACCAGTGCCCAGTCGACAGAGTGTATCGAAGTCGCCGCTTATGCCTCTTTGCCGTTCACTGACACTCTTGTAGGAGAGGGTGTGCAGTCCACCGACCTACCTGCGTTAAATGTTGGCGGCGTTTACAACCCCACTGAGTTCCAGCAGACGACACCAGTGTCGAGGATTGAATTGTTGGTGGATCCCCAGCTAAAACATGCTGTTGAAGGCAAATACGATCTGCGTGAAAGAAAAAGTAAAGGTAGCATGCACTTCCACGGCTTTGAGCATTTCTCCTTCCCGCTGGATCTCACCCAGTAAGTTGGCCCACTCTACTGAGTTCCATTGGCAATTTGTGATCCTCGCATGTGTTGTTCGTGTATCTGCCACTAAACGCCACATTTTCTATTCTGAATCAAATAGTTCCTGGGATCCGCCTCTGAATGCATTTGACGCTTTTCCTGATGCACCTAGACCTGCTTACCTTCATGTCGTTGACAATGATTACTCACAAGTAGACCTGACGCGCTCCTGCACAAGTCCTGCCTGCCTGGTGGGATTCTCTGGTTCCGCTGCAGGCCGATTTCATGAGATGAGATGCTGGGTTTGCGATTGTACCGTCCCATCTCTGACCGATTTGAACAATGGTCTTTATGCTTGTGGACCCGGTTGTATCAATCGTGCCCTCAATATTGAATGTGGACCTTCATGCCCGACCGGAAATCTTTGCAGCAATCGTCAGTTTCAGTTGCGCCTCTATGCCCCTTCGGAGCCCTTTTACTGTGGCCCCGACAAAGGCTGGGGTCTACGAACTACAGCAGAAGTTAAAAAGTAAGCTCTAACTCATGTCGCTCAACGTCGTTTTCCGTGGTTCATTTTCTCTGTGTTGATCCACACTACCAACCATAAATGCTTGCTAATTTTTATAGCTTTCTTTTACTTGATACGTTTTTCATCGGTCTTAGGCACACCTTCATAATAGAGTATGTAGGCGAAGTGATCGACTTCTCAGAATTTCGTCGACGCGTGCGGCGCTATGAAAGGCTTCATCGGGCTCACCACTACTTTATGGCACTGGGATCGGATCGCTTCATCGATGCCGGCTCTAAGGGTAATTGGGCTCGTTTCGTCAACCACTCTTGCGAACCGAATTGTGTCACGCAAAAGGTAATTTTACTTCCTTATTTTTGATTTTCGCTTCGCACAGGACCTCAGTGCTAGGTTAGAGCCACTTTACACTTTAATTTTAATTCGATTTCTTCCAGCTTCACTTACGTAGCATGCGCAAACCAAACTGACCAGTTGGGCTATCCCTACGTCTACCTGATCGACTCACACTGACGTGTTTCTTTATTCTAACGACCATGTGTGCACCTGCGCACATCCCACTTGTCCCACACATGTATGGTCTGTTTGTTATCTGGTGTCCGACTCTGGTGCTACGAATCAACCCGTTATTTTGGCCGTTGTAGAAATTTAAGTGGTCCGTTTATTTATCAGCATTGATTTTCCAATGGCTTCGATTGTCCTGCCAACTTGACTGCTGGCCACCCGGTTTGCGGTTCTTGTCATGCTTATTTGGCACTTACCTTCCGTGATTTCGACCGCGAGCGGTTACCGTGCGCCGCGTATCCCGGTGGCTTATGTCACACTGCCACTCGTTACTTAACCGAGTACACATCGTTCAAACTGGGTATGCCTATACCTTAGAGGCACGCTGGCGTAAACCATGCTTGTTTCCCAACCCACTCGCGCTTGGCAAGGAGCGCTGTTGGGCAGAGGGATCCGAGTAAGGATTCCATAACTCTGTGCCTCTGGTTGCAGACTACATTAGGCACGTGAGTAGTTTCAGCTGCTTTCCATGGTTGTTCGGTAGTATCTAGTTCCAGCGCTAGGCATGGCTGCAATCTCTGACTATTCATGTGGATTGTAGACCAGAAGTTCGCTCGTTTTGTTTACTTATGCTCTCAATTCCTTTGTTGCTTTTACTGTACGCTGATCTGAACCGCACTTCTCTCAGTCGATATCTACAGCACGATTATTGCTGGGGAACTGGATCCTGTTATTAACTGCCACGAAGTTGGATTGGGGCATGTATACTAAATATAAACTTATTCGACCAATTACGATATTCAGATCCACAGTTGAACCAATCTTCTGCCTGCTATTCTCACAAAAGCTGCAGATGTCATCCCTTGCAACAGCTATCAACAGTTTCATGTGGTCAGTCAAAGAAGTCATGTTGTTGAACAAATAGACCTCGGTGTTCTCGGAGCTGGTAAAGCTTTTTGTATCGTATTGCCAAACCTCAGACGCGCGACTTAGTATCCAGGTTTAAGGCGCAACCTGATTTTCTCTTTCACCGTAAGTTCTCCTTGGGTGAACTTTAAACACCATTCATTTTATTGTTCCTTCGTTCCTCAGTGGAGTGTGGACGGTAAGATCAGAATCGGGTTTTTCGCTCTGATGGACATTCCCGCTGGCACTGAGTTGACCATCGACTACCGATTTGTCCAATTCGGGTATGTTTTGTTCATGGATACTTGGGTATATGTATTTTATTAACTAGCCTTGTTCTAGTGACTTATCTCTTCTTTGCTAACATTCTATGGGGTAAGATACTGGGTTTTTTGGCCTGGCAATGGGAAGTGAACTCGATCTTCCATTAAATTTACTCCCATTGGGAGACATTGCCTCTCAGAGCCAGGGAACATCATTGACATGTTCTAAGCTATTTAGCTGAACTACGTTTTTACCTTTTGCATGGTACTCAGTCATCCGTTGAGTAAGTTCGGTTATGTTGAAAGGCAGTTTAAGATACAAAGAAGCTGTCAGATGTAACCTCACTTTTGCCAAACGTACACTTAGATACTTATTCTGTGTACTGCATGGCACGCCTTTCATGGATTTCCGTGCAGTATTGACCAGTCGTAATCGGTATATTCCTAAATGTCCGCTCAGAGTATTTAGCTTATACACTATATTCACTTTCCTTCTGCGACTTGCTCTGTTTCTCCTAATTTTTGATTGTCTTGCGGTGATTCGCAAATTTGGAGTGTTGGTATTTTACTTTTGGAGTGTCATGGCCCCTGCCCCCGACATCTCTTGAACTGTTGTCACTTCAATACTTTTTTATCTTTCACAAGCGCATTATCTTACTCGTGTATTGTTTTACTTTCCACTATCCAATCTGCCATGATTTTATCACCAAACACCAGCTGTTGGGTTTTACCAGTTATTAGTGCTGGTTAGACGGATAGTTCGCGACACATGCTCATGCTTTCTGCCTGCACCTCGGCATCGAAAGTTTTGACGAGCCTATTGTTATTTACGTGGCTTGCTTGTGTGTTTCCAATCTTAACCGCCCGTGAACTTTTCATTGTCAACTGCATTAGTAAAAGTCAAATTGGCTTATACGGACACTTGCTTAAACGCCATCCTACGCATCACTAACTCGCCATGGCTATATCCCTCCACTTGCTAGTTGCTTTGATCACGACCGTCTTTTTGAATGGCGTACCAGAGTTGTCTTATCTTATTACTCCCACTACGTGTATCAGTCATTAGTCCAACTTCACCTGTGTTTGCAACAGAAAATGACATCATACTTGTGCGTTTGTTGCCCCCTCCTCTCCTGATTGCTTGACTAGTGATGCTTATTGCTATCTGGGACAATGAAACCCACAAGTAGGCTGTCCTGCTGACACCGCTTTATCTTCACACGACGATAAGCTGTTATGATATCATGTTGACAGTGTGCAATCATCATTGTTTTCTTAGTACATCTAGGTTTCCCATCGGGTTCCGCCTTGTTACGGGCCCACATTACTGTCATCGTCACCTAGTAGGCGAACATTAGTTTAACACACGGATGTATCTTTGATCTTGTCGGGGACGATTGTAGTGAATTTGACTAGCTTCCACTTTTCGCTTCTGATAAACTAGCTGACAAATTCTGCCATATGATTCTGCATGCGCTTCTGATGCTACAAGCACTAACTGCTATTTCGGGACTGAGTCGACACGCCACCAACCGCCATTTTCGCTGAACAGCCGCTCGAAATCGTAAATCAATTTATCTGCCTAGTTTACGCCGTCATATCTGGTGGTGAAAGCGCATAGCTGATGTTCGTGTGGTCGTACAGAGGTGTTGGGTTGTTGGCTTTATGGTCAACGATCGGATGCACAACGCTGCAGTTCCGTTTGTGGTACCGCTAGCTAAGGACACTAAGAGATTGACCGTATTTAGACGCAAGCACTTGCGCAGCTTTGCTCACATCAGGAATGACCTGAATGCGTGGTTCCTAAGATCGTCATTTGTTGATTGGTTGCGCGTTCAGCCGCTGAACTCGAGCCACTTCTGTTCGCTCGGTCATGTATCCTACATGCATGCAAGCCGGCTACCTCGGTCTGTGTTGTTTACCCATGCTTTGCCTAGTTGGATGATGCACCGAAGTTGCAAAAGTGCGTGGAGAAACTCGTCGATAAGCCAAGTTGGGCTGGTGTTTGTCAACTTCCTGACTGGCTTTTTCTGGATCAACTACATCACTGGTCTTTTGCAGTCATCCCCTTATTTCTCTCAACTACACCATCTGACAATCTTATTTGCTGTTTCTGCATTACCATTTTGTTATATTTATTGCTATCGCTGTTGGATTCGGTTAGCCAAGACAGCTTGGCCCACCACTCGTAGTTTCCCAGCTGAACTGAATCTCCTAAATTGTTATCTCCATGCTCATCGATGTCCGTACCTTGCTTACTTGCACGTATCGAGATATTTTGTTGTCAAATGGATGTGTTCTATCACACTGTTGTGCCAGAATACGGTCTATTCACTTGTTTGCATCCACATTGCTAGTTGCGCTTCCTCGCTAATCCTTTCGTTTAGGCATAGTACGAATTTGTTTGGCCGACACTGGATCAAACGTATTGACGAATTTTCTTCATACATAAGAATACCGGTTTTTTCACCAGCATAGAAATACTTCTGGTCGCTCTACTTAGCCACTAAATAACATACCTTGTCTTGTTGGGCCGCGTTGTGCCTGCACACGCCGGGGCGTTAGTGTAGTCCGGCATCTCAAACGGACCTCCCTTCGATGGAAACCTTTTGGGCAGGATATCAGTCTTGGATATTTTTCGCCGGTTGGACAAACTTCTTCAATTGCCTAGTACACAAAACCGAGGCGTCGCATATTGAGGCCTGTTTAAAAGGACAACTGCAACAAGGATTCTTCAACCTTAACCTGGTAGAATTTAGGCAGTGTTTTCCACTTTCACCAGGTCTGACATGAATATGCGAAGCTTGTGTGCGCAAACCTAACCGTTCCAGATGGTTCTGGTCTAACTAGTGTTACAGCAGTTTCTAGTACTTTACATTATCACCAACCAGCAAACTCGTCACTACCGTCCACCGAGCGTCGGTGATTAAATGACAGCCATGTTGTCTGTGTCTTCTCTCGCTTCGTTGCATCTACTGCTCGTAGTAAGAAGGATCACGACACCTCACTGAGAATTCTTGAGTTGGGTATTATCTGTGTAGGTCTGTTGTCCCTCTATTATGCCACACTGTCTACTAATGTTCCTCTACAAACACAGAATGCCGAATCACGTGCGTCTCTTCACTTATCAATTCGCACATGCTAATCAGCTCAGAGGATCTTTGCCTTCCAGTTTATCCACAAGTGTTTGTTTTCAACCATATTTCATACCGAACGTCGCCGTGCTTTGAACCTACTGGTCATTTAGGCCAAAGTGCTCACTTTAATTATCAGGAGTTGTTATATGGACTAACTACCTTATGCACTCTTAGTGTTGTATCGTCTTATGTTGTCGTCTTTTATGCCATTCTAGAGCCATCCTTGTTCGTGTTTTCCTCATTGATCAACGTTTACCGTTATCCTGATAGGTGTAATATTTCCATGCTTTTATCGCTTTAATGATTCTTCCGCCATGTCCTCCAGCGCCTCGGAGCAAAAGTGTTACTGTGGCACTCCATCTTGCTCCGGTGTTATGGGATCCACAAGCAAGGCGCTTCAGGATAAAGTCCGTCTAAAAGACACTGCTATGGTAAGTGTTCTTGAACCTTCTGTGAACAACCCTGTGCATGCTAGTCACAGCATTTTTGGCTGATATCCTTGTCAGTGCACTGAAAACCATGTCCTAAGCAAACATTCAGGGTCAAGTCGCCTACACCTTGTGTTAACAACACCGTCACAAACAGCTTGCTGTCATGCTAAGAAAGGGCGATATCAGCGAGACAGCATCCTTGCGGCTTTCACTGCCCCGCGTCATAATCAGCCATTACCTCGCACCAACCTCACGTTAAACAAGCAGTCCGACTAGGAGACGGCAGCAGACGCGCAACTAGTGTTGACTGCAAGCCACATCCTGTACGGTCTAGCCAAGCACAAGGCGGGTCACGTGGACTCCAGCCTGGAAGGTGAGACTGGCCGACGGCACCCAGTTTAGTCGTCAGTGACTTCATTTCCCGCTGCCAAGTCAATATTTGTCCACCTCGAGCCTTACGCTACCCTACATCTCGCAGACAAAACAAAACCCTTGATAAGCGGTGGCCGGGCATACTTCGTACGTGCCCAAGCCAACTCAACTTATTCATTGCTATCTGTTGCTCTAAGAAACTAGCTTGGTTATCACTTCTTAGTACTCGCCTACGCACATCATCGTTGCGGACACGCTGGTGCCACCCGACACCGGCAATGCTCCACAAACAGCGATGATCAAAGACTTAAAAGCGCCTCAGGTCCTCAGGCCGAAGAGACCAGCTCTCACTTTCATAGAGTACGATGGCTGTCACTGTGGCCGTGTAAACACTGTCTTTCGCCAAAGATGTCGCAGATGCAAGAAAGCAGTTCTGGCTTTTGCAATTCGTTAACTAACTTCAGTTTCTATACTCCCATCGTTGCTGATGTAGCTACGAAGGCAAGCGAATAGATCAACTACCTCGACTTCTTCGTTATTAAGGGACAAGGTGTCATCACGTGGCTGGTGGTCCTGCAGCAGCACTGCATTTTAAAGGGGCGAAGCGTATACTATATAATGGGACCACTCTAGTGAGGCTATTCAGGGATGATTGACCGCCCCAACCTGGTCAAATAGCAAGATGGTATCATTCGCATTACCGGGCAGCACGTCGGCATCGTGAGGCTCCGCAAGGTAACGCTCCGTGATGGAGTCCATGGCGAACTTGAACTAAATGGGGAAATCGGACAACTTTGACGAACGCCATTTGTCGTCGGAAAGCTATCCGACAGGTCACCGTAGGCCCTGATGCGGCCTGTCGTGTTCGAGTTTAGAGTACGCAAAGTGTTCAAATACTTCGTAGGAACAACTTTCCGCGCAAGTATTTCGGACAGAATGGATCGATCGACTGAATCGAACGCACTCTTAAAGTCCAGAAAGACAGCTATTGTCGGTCTGCGGTACGTGTGGCGCTGCGCTAGCACATGCCGCAGAGTGAACATATGGTCTATACAGTGCCCCTCCAGGACGGAAACCTACCTGTTCTTTCCGTTCCGTAGTGAGGCGACGAACGAGAATTGGGGCCAGTAATTTTGTCACAACTGGCGTTAAGCTAATACCCCTGCGGTTAGCACAGTCGGTGCGACTGACCTCATATATTGCCACTGTAATCAGTTCACTCCAGTTAGCTGGGATCTTCTCTTCCTTCCATCCATGTTCGAACAGATAGGTCAGTGCTTCGCAGAGAACCTCACCTCCATCCCTAATTAGTACAGGTGGCAAGATCCTGGCCAGCAGCACGAAACCCATTAAGAGCTGTGATCGCGTTTCGGACTTCAGCCTCCGATGGAGCCTCTAAACTAACTGGCCATAACTCATTCTGCATGACCTGAGTAGGAAAGAGGTCTGGAAGCAGGGGGCCATCTGAACTGATCTTTAGACTGTTCCGCCCAAGGAGCCATGCAGCACTTATTGTTGTGTATCAGTGTCCTCGCGCTCTGATTGTCTCACTGATGCCTGGTTTCCTGGGACCGATGGTGCGGATCAGCTGAAAGTGTTTGCAATGATTGCCTGCTGCTCCCTCCCCCTGCATTTTTTGAGCCCGACTAGTCTACCAGACTTCCTTGTTAGTATGCAGGCTCTGCTTTAGTTTCCGCCTAATAGTCCATCTGGTCGCATTGTGCTCAGAGTCAGCCGAGAGTTTTCTTCTCGATTCCAACAGGTTCATCGATCTCTCGGATTTGCAGTGATTGGTGGAGTGACGATAGATAGCGCCACAAACATATGCTCCTGTCTCGTGCATGGCGGCTGAGATCCTATTCCACTGAAGCTCAGTGTCATTAGGTGAAGACAGCAAAAGTTCGGTACGCAGTGCGTCTTCATGGGCTTGCCTGACCGAGGGCTGAGACAGTTTCTCACTTGCCAATAGAAGGAGACGCTTGGTGCGCCTTCCGGTAAAATTCATGGAGAAAGGTATGATCTGAGTCGACACAGGTTCTCTAGTACTAGCGGCAATCTAGGATGGAGCCACACCACCTGTAACTTATGGCTATGTGGTCAATTTGGTTCCATAACTGGCCAGCTACAGGAGAACGCCAAGTGGCACTTCGGCGCCCACTGTGTCTAAAAGCAGTGCTGCTAAGAAACAACTGGTGCTCCGCACACAGCTGCAACAGACGCTCGCCGTTGTCAATCCATTCGAAGTTTGGCCCATAGTCACCATCTAGCTGAGCTTCTGAAGAGCTCAGCCGCCCTACTTGTGCATTCATATCCTTTGCAACTACCTTAATATTAGAACTGGTAGCAGCATCAGAACTACAGTCGGCGTGAGCGTAAGCGGAAATCACAAACAAACAGCGTATAGTAGTGCTACTTCGTGAATCAGCCTTAGTTGATGTCGTCGAACGGGCTACCCACAAACAGCTGTTCACCGGAATCCAATCAACCAACGATGACTCAGCCTTGGAGCTGAGAACCATACCTACTTTAGCTTGGCCCGTGAGTGCTACATCAGCGTCTCCAGATGCGTGCCACCAATAGCTAGAGGACAAGTCAGGCGCAGTTAATCCAACAACCCTGTGAAGGTCATAGATCCTAGTTTCGGACACACAGCACACGTCAATACCCAGTGTGTACAACATGCGTGCGAGTGCAGCTTGTTGTCTTATTTGTCTTAGAATGCGAACGTTGAACACCGTCAGTAAAACGGGGCAGCGTGGCCTACTAAGGGACTGTTGCTGATAGGCGTCCAGTTGGGAAAAAGTGGCTGCAGATGGTTCGACTTCAGTGTAACTGGCTACTGTCAATTAAACTAGGATTTATAGAAGGAAGGTTAGTAATGGGGGTTGAGATAGGAGAAAGAGAAACAGGTGGAAAAGAAAGAAGGGTGACGCCAATACTAGCATCCTTTCGTTTATCAGCCCTGCTGTATGCAGCTGATAAGGCGGCCCTTGATAATCTGCGCGACGGCCGACGCAAGATGTGCTTAAAGTTTGAAAAAACAATCATAATTGTACATGGACTGGAATACTGCCGAGGCGCTCAGACCTAGACAGGAGAACGATTAGGGTCTTCAGCCAAAGCCTTTGGCTCAACAGCCTGTCCGCAAAGCCGCGGCGTAGTGGCAGTGATTAAGTTTTAAAACAATGGATGCCATCCCATTTCAGACCCCCAACATTGGAGGACCAGGAGGCTGAGTTCGTCTGACCTCTAACCATTGGCCAACCTGGTAGGAGTAGCCCAGTATAGCTCAATAGGTCAAGGTAGGCAAACCGTCGCACCACCTCAAGGTCCAGTCTCGTTGCGACGCGCCTCTTGGCCAACCCGTGTTGCGATGCATGCCTTGATAAATGCTTTTTGCTCTGGATACTGGCTCATGTGCTATTGCGTACAGAGAGCGCGCCGCTTCTTTCGCCCTCGAAAACACCAAGGTTATCCTGCTCCATCCCAACTTGTATCGAAGGCGTGGAATGGCACTACACTCTATTTTTGTTGATCATCAGCTTTCTGTGTCTTTCCTCAACCAGCAGTTTGCACCCGCCGACTGCCAGATGTACCCGGTCCTTGACGTCATCAACAATTACTCATATGACGCAGAATAAACGCTCGTTTTGTCCGGTTGAGTTTAACTCGTCCATCTATTTCTTTATTTATGCACACATTGTCCTACTTTATCCCCAGAATTGACGTCTGAGCACTGGTTTTTGGTCGTGAGACAGGAACCCCTCTTTATATGCCGCTGTTTTTCTGTATCCCATTGTGAAGGCAAATCGGGATCACGCTTAGCATGAGACTTGAGAATACCTGTCTGCGAATCAAGAAGTTGATAATCTGCTTTCCTACCTGTTTATGTCAAGCGACTTCAAATTCAAGACCCCTTAATATTCATCGTCTTTTTAATCTGTCTAGCATGAGCTTTCTCGACCCCTACATTCATAGGTAACTGTTGCCGCTTACTATAGAGTGCTGCACTCCCGCATCTGCTCTTCCTATGCTACCGATAAATTCCTATTTCTGTGGTGTTCATTGAAATTTTTTCACGATCTCCGGTTTTTACCTCTACATTCCAGTTCCTGTTTCCACTGTGTACTTCTATCCTGCTTGTTCATGCTTGTATGGTTTGTTCCTCAATCTTACTTTCCGCTCTCTCTTGATCAGACTTATATCTGCGTTTATGAGAACTCGGCTTGGCTTGTCAATTATCAGCCTAAATATTTATTTGGTATACTTTTAGCTATGTGAGACACAACTCGGCCAAGTTGCTCCTGCTATTCACTGTGCATCTCTATACACCAACTTTTTTCTTTTCCAGGTTGAACGTCGTATCATGGAATTATTGCAACGGGATGCGTTTCACCGAGCATCGGACATCACGCTTCTTCTCCAAATTATGGTGCAGGAGTGTTTGACCCGATATACTCGCCTGGAACTTTTGAAAAGATTGGCGGTCACGGACTCCGATGCTTGCCTGAAGCTTTTTCGTCAATACAATGGGCTTGATATGTTGGCCGCGTTCATGTGCGATTCTGCTGAAGATGACTGGGAGCTAAAACGACAGGTAACTATTCCGCTATGGCCTCTATTGGCAATGTTTTCCTGTTTTTTAATCATTTAGCGGATTACGTGTGGCGTGTTTTGCCGTATGTTTTTATTATTGTAATAGTTATTCTTATTGTACACGTTGGCTAAAGGTGGGGAGCACCAGCTCATTTACTGCAATACAAATTAGTTAGATGGCAGTAGAAAAGAATGAGAATACTGGGCAGCAACCATAACAAAAGCAAGCCAAAACGAAAACTTGTGTAATGCGTCGATACTGATATCGCAGTTGGAGGGGGGGGGGGCGGACAGTAAAACTCACAACACAGATGTCATTAAGATCGGTTCTTCGCCATTTCAGCAAGTGTATTCGTCGTCTTTCGGAACCCGACCATGGAGTCGAAAGGCTCCAACCGAGGCCAACTCTTGACCAAGTCATCGTTTGGCCTCTCCTCTTCCATCCAAACGCCGGTTACACAGACAACGCACGTCGCGGGAGTAGGTGTGCCTGCAAATGCAACACATGGCCACGTGAAATAACGATGCTTAGCAATTCGATTTCTCTTTCTGGGTCATAGACGCTACGCCGAACACTGATTGCTCACGCAGTATTCCCACCAAACATGAGCTAAACTGCGAAGGCACCTGGGGTCGAACGTAAGTAGCCTGTTTACGTCTGTCGTTCTTATGGGCCAGGTTTCCCAACCGTAGGGGGGGGGGTTAAACGCACGATTGTATTAAAGACTCTACCCTTCATGGCGTGAGTGATGTCACGCCAGCTCCACAAATGGCTGGGATTGGCAAAACACCTATCTTTTGCTATGCGCTTCGTAACCTGACCTTTTATCCTGCAGGTGCTAATACAGCCTTCCAGGTATAAATTTATGGAGTAATAAATTGTCTGGTCTTGACAACACGGGGCATGCCTGCACATGCGTAATCATGGTAAGAGAACAACGAATGATCGTAAAGTGCGCAAAAAATAAAACGTTTACCATAACAGTGGATTTATGAGTGTATGGGCATCAGCAGTACAGTGGTACGCAGTACCGGCGCTTCGCTGCCGTACAATCACCACCAGTCGCACGCGGACTAGGGATATTTCGAGGGTCACCCCTTACCTACGCAGACTGGAACCTGCGGCCTCAGATTACAAGGCAGGCTTGTGATCCTTAAGGTTGCGGGCCGGACTATGAATGTATATGTATGTAGCTGAGGTACATCAAGCTACGTCACGGCATTTGGGCTACATCGACTTACACTTAAACTCGATCTCCTTAACCTCGATAAAAGTATTCCACTTTATTTGATTTACTCAGTTCTGTTATTCTGCCGCATATACTGTGTCAGTTTTGCGTGATTATTTTCCTTCCGATTCTCTGTTGATTGTTTGATGTCGCCGGTGTGGCTGCACTTGATGTGAATGTTGACAGGGAGCCTACTTGTCTAACACCCTCCACCTCGGTTACTGGCTCCAGCAGACGGGGTGCACCGTCCTTGTGACCGTGTTAGGCTCAAAGAGCGGTTCCACGCAATGGAACGGACTACGGCGTAGGTACTGTCTTGTGTACGTCCAGTACGTATGATTCTCAAATTAGATAGAAATGCTGCCTCTGTTGTGCGTGTTGGTCGGCTCCGTTGTTGAAACGTGGCTCCCATCTACATGCTTCCCGAGTTTACACTGGATATGGGGTGTGTGGGTGGTGCAGCGCAAACCACCCATGGTCCCTTAGTAGGCGCAAGCGTCCTGTAACTGTCCCCATGAAGGCCACAGTGAAAGGCAAATCCGGAACCGGATACTGCCAATCGTGTTTGTAGCTGTGTTGCTTGGGTTTATACACATGTCATTGCACTTTGACTGTGTTTGATCGTTCTGCCAGTGTGTGAAGGAATGACTGACGTCCGCAGATTGGATATTTTTATCCGAATAAGCTGATCACCACCAATTGTTAGCACTGGTGGGGGTTCCTGCCAATCTTGGAGCAGAGGTTTGCTGTTGGAAGGTGCAGAACAAATCCCGAAGCGACTGAGAGCTAGTTCTGGTCTCCCAGTGGTGCTTTGCACGTTTTGTGAGCCGTCACGGATTAGTGCAATATCGTCGGGCTATTTCAAGTCGATAAGTCGCTCACTTTAATTCTTGTCAAGTGACCGCATTTTTCATAACTTCCTCGATGGTGAAGATAAAGAGCAAAGGCGGTCGTGGTTATCCCTGTCTCACCGCGGCGGTCGTTTGTCGTAAGTCAACATTCTATCCGAACTACGCACGTGAAGCGAGCTGACCATGTGTTCTCGGGTATACATTTCCTAGACAGACAGTTATTATTGTGTTGTGACTTCTGTTTTCATCCTGTTTTTTTCGCTTTTTGACCAAAACAAAAACCAACCTACTGCTAAACACCGAAAACACTTCTGCTAAGGATAATGCTTTAATAATCGTTTAAACGTACTCATTTTAACGCCACTAACACTTCGTATAGGGATAACCTTCCATTCTGCACAGCGAAATAATGAACTAATTAGTGGGCATTATCAATGCGCTTGTTGTTTGAATGGATTGCGACGCGCGATCTCAATGTGGACCGTTGTCTGCATTGAAGTGAATCTTGCTCTATTCGATCACTGGGACCATAACTGATGATGCAGGTGGATATTTTATGTTGCCGTCTTGATACAGTGCTTTCAAGCAGGCATTGTTTAATATTCATCCACTTCAGATGTTAGTGCTAGTTTCACTTTGCTTTTTAGCTGTCGCACATTTTTAATTCCAATCACTTTAAATCTACTTGATGGGAAACTACTCAGCCAGTCATTATTCTGCACAAACGACATCCGCCAGAGACCAATAGTGACTTCATCTTTAAGACCCGGGGTGTTATTCTACATCGGGTCCTATAATTTCGCATTGCCAAATCGGCCAACAAACGGCGCTGACAATAACCCTACACTCCCAAGCATGCGTTCAGGACGACTGTGTCTTAATTTATCTTCGCATGCCCGACCTGGGTTTAAATGATGTGACTTACACAATGGGGAAGCCGTTTACACGTCTGACGGTATCTGCCTTGCCAGGATCTCTCAGCAGACGTGTAGATACTCATCTTTTAGATTGCATACAACTGAACAGCGGCATGTGCATTGTCCTATTTCTAAGCCCATCGGAATCAACATTTAGCTTTAGCAGGGTGCCTTTTTGTTCCTTCGACTTACACCGCCACCGATTATATCCCAGCATCCTTCAGAGAAACTCTACAAGTACCTCCTTCCTCTCATTCGAATGGCCAAATACACGGATTTTGGTCGTTGCAGGTGACATGGACGCTCAAGTCGGTCACTTATTAGGTCCATAGCCTAAGAAGACCCTTCGTGGTCAGCATTTATCATACTGACAATGGCGACCTTTCCTTCAGCTATGTACTGGTTGTAATCCCTATTTTACAGCTTTTCAGCACGTGTTTACATGATGGCGACCAAACCATAGCCTGCTGTGGAGCTAGACTGACCCCATTGTCATCAGCACGTCAGTATATTATCGTCAGTCTATTTGGAACACCCCGATTACCCCTTATGCCTACCTACATAACGCTCAATCTTCCTGTTTCCGCTACTTGTTCAGCTTCAATGCTGCTCTCCCGTAAACTGCAAACAACTGGCGGTCTGATAAATCACGTAGGCGAACCGATTGCGTGCTGGGATGACCTTCATTGCACAATATCAAAGCACTAGAGATCACTTGCCCAGCCAGTATGAGTTGTTGACGGACCTCTGGTGCCTGATTGATGCACAGAATATCCTATCATCGGGCTGTCAGTTCCAAATTCCTCACATTTTGTCTGACTATGGGTCAGATCCATCCGAGATCGATGATGGTTGTCAATCGAATGGCAAATGTCGCTTAACATTTTTCGCGCGTGTTAGGGGCAAACGCCTTGATTGTGACACCTTTAAGCCAGCCACTTTTGATGAGCTTCTATGCACGTAAGTTATTCTGCTAGTTTCTGTCATCGCGTTATCTTTTGTAGATTCTCGTTTGTCTGGATAAAATACCCGTTTCGGAGCAGAAACAAGTACAAACTAATTCGCGCCTGATGGATATTGTTATTCAATGGACCACTGATCCCCGCTTTTGCAGACCCCGTGGTCCCACATCAGATGGGTTATTGCTGGGCCAAGAATTTCCGGTGGAATCCATCCCATCTTGTACTGCCAAAAATGAGACAACTGCCGAAGACTGTGAATTGCGGGTAACTGCCGATCCGTGCATTCCAGGAAAATATGGTAAGTATTGTGTTGCCATGATCCCACGAAATGACACACAACACTACGCTCAATATATCTCTCGGACCTCTTTAAACTTCTCCGGATAGTGCTCTCGGACGCGTTAGGACCTTTGGCGGCAAGATATGACCTAGGGCCGCACTCCACACCGAATAACATTTTTCGGATGCTTTCGAAATCACTTATATCAATTATACCATGGATTACATTTCGATTGGTTATCTCCACATACTCCTAAGATATTGGGTGGAGATTGCCCCCCTCTTGTGCACGTTTTCGGGCTACACACAGGCCAATCAACGTAATGGATGCGCACTAAGGTTTATCTCTAATGAGTGTGGGCACAGCTATTGCTTACTGAATCCGTAACCATCATTTCCCAGTCAGATTGCCCTCACCCACTTGCTGATACGCTTCCAAACTCATCTGCTACTCACCGTAGTCGCAGATGTATCACCTGCCGCCATCAGAATGTATCATCTATTTGGTCGGTGGCCGATTGGAGTAATGCGTCCACCTTGTGATCCAAAGGCCACATGTTATGGTTTAGATGTGTGTTGGCGACCTTGCAGTATATCCCTCGTTCGCGTGCGATTGGTGGTGCTCGCGTTTCAACTACTCTGGGGCACGGAATCTATACATGAACCAGTCTAAACCTCCCAATACCATTTGTGACCGGCCTAGAATGGATCCCAGCTGGGTTGTGTTGTCTGCTTCATGAAATTCATCCCTGTCCAATGTTACATGTGACGCACTGTCATCTCAGCGACTTGGAGTAACTATCTTTCTACTTACTCCCTTCTGGGTTTTTACCAGCAAAGGTATCCAGTTGCCAGCTTTCTCTTCGCATGCTTACCAGCAGATAGCTGCATTGGACTGCACGGACTCGCTTGTGCTAAAACTTCAGGGACGCTATTTTACATTGCTTTTTGTTCGCTGTCTATATTCTATTTAATTGGTAAGCAAGCAACACCAACTCTTGCTTTGCTGTGTGTATGTGGGACAGTGCGAACTGCAGATGGATTCTTGGAGCATGTCTCCTTGTGTAAAGCACGTAGGCTGGCTTCTTTGGATATTCCATTTCAGTTTGTTAATGACTTGGATTGATTAAGAGCCCCAGAGTGCTGGCTCCTGACAGGCCAGTGAGATGCAGAAAGTTAGTACTATCGGGGTCAGTTGATTGCTGACTGCTTCAGAGTCTACTGAAGGCTTGCGAAAAGGTGTCTCCCGAGTTCTCCACTGCAGGTGGGGCTAACAAAGGTCCTATATCTCCTTTCCTCTTAACATGTATGATGGAGATGCACATAAATTACTCTCCTCTCACCTTCTGGAATGGAATACTTAGCCGATGGCTTACTGACGATCCTTGAGTACTCGGACGGCGTACCTCTCTTTTGCTTAGACATGCTGGCTTTACAGGCGCAGAGCTACATGCACTCCTCGGTATTTGCTTTAGGCCTTTGCGTCGCAAAGAATTGCTGCTGGAGTTGGGTCGACACGCCATCGGTCCTTGTTATCCCCGAATAGTCACTAAAAGTGATCGATCGGTTTTTTTATAGATCGGTTATGTTCGTTAGGATGAGCATCTCCTAACGAATGGACTAACGAACCCTAAACGAATCAACCTTCTGCCTTTTTCCAAAAATCAAGCAGCCCAATCGCATTGGTTAATCAAAAGAATGCTCTCGCAAAGTCTAATATTATTGTTAAGTTAAGAAGAGAACAGTACGTTCAGGAAGGTCATCACAGACAAATAAAAATCGATACTTTGCACTCTGTGATCGTCAGTAGTTCCCTTACCAGCCGATAAGGGACGTCTTACGGTCATAATGGACAAAACTGGCTACATGAAGATAGCACAAGCGCTGCTCAAGCGCGTGAAGACATACCAACCGAAAGTGAAGACCCTAATGGTCGTCTAAAAAGCAAGGTCAAACGCACTCTTTAAAGGCCAGAACAAATGCGGTAGTTCTGGAAATTAGAACACAACCAAGATGAAACCTGAGGATTCAATACTACCACGGTTCTACGGCTTATTCAAAATACACGAAAATGGGATGCCACTTTGCTCAGTCGTGGCATTACCTAGGGCACCGGATTACAAACTTGCTAAAGTACGCTGGAAGCAGCTGAAACACCTGACCACAGGCTCAGGAAATTTAATCCATTCGGCGGATCAATTACTTGGAAAACTCACGAACAACGATAGAAAACAACGAGATAATTGCTTGTTTACATCAATTGACACCAAGCTGGCAAGGTAAACATTGACGACCCTGCTAGAACAGCACGGTGCGGTAAATGCAAATAACAGAATTGGTCATAAATGATGTAGTTACTTGATTACTGTATCGCCATACATTTCACTCTTAACTGTAAACAACTAATAGGCACGCCAATGGGATCGTCAATCTCTAGACTGGTAGCCGAGACAGTGATGCAAGCACTGGAACAAAAGGCACTGCCGATCGTGGAGCCCAAGCTTTTGTTATCCTTCAGCGTTCAAACTTAAAAAAACGCACCCGCTAATCAACATTATTTTCTTTGGCATCCAGTTCACCAAAGCGGAGGAGGACAATGACCAATTGCCATTCTTGGACGTGCTTGTGATAAGACATGATTCTGGCCATCTTGCAACAACGGTCTATCAAAAAGCGATGCACACCGATCCGATTTCGAACTACCACAGTAACCGTCTAGTCGTTTACAACTGCAGTTGTGTAAGAACACTCTTCAAACATTTCCAAACACACTGTAGCACGAGGCAACTGAGGAAGGCGGAGGAGAACCACCCCTTTAACATATTTCAGCGGAATTCCTACCCCAGATGTTACGCTGTCTGATGTCGAGAAAACAACCACAGGTCACATCCACAAGTAAAACAAAAAGGAAAACTGTTATTCTATCTTACATCAATTTAATTTCTGAGATGGCAGTGAGGCTTCTAATGCCTTACAGGATAGATGTTGCGCACGAAGCAAGGGAAACAATTCGGAGCAAACTTTCTAGGGCAAAAGACCAACTGCATAACGAAGAAACATCTGGTGTGATTTACAAAATCTCCAGCAAGATTTGTGTCAAGCACTATGTGGGCCAGACCAGAAGAAAACTCGGCACGGACATAGTCTGGCAATCCGTCGCCATAAAGAGGAATCGTTAATGTCAGTACATATGGATGCTGAGGACCACCAATTTGATCTGAAAACGTTAAGATTTGGGGATAACAATAAGCCGAAAAGCGCGTGAGTTCATCGAGACCTGGTCTTCGAGCCAGACCTCAATCAACAAGCACCTGCAGCTTGAAGCTCTACGAATCGAGTCGGCACTAGGTCTCAGACCGCCAGGGCGAACAGTCAATCCACAGCTGTTTCGAAGCAGGATACGATCAATTGCTACTGGGATTTGACATTGGCCCACAAGACTATGCGATACAGACTTTGAAAGCCGCACTGATGTTGCTTAGCTTGGCAATGAACCGTTTGCAACGGAAAAGCTCAGCTCGGCGAACGAAACAACTTTCACATACACAACCCGAGCTGCAGGTTCTCTCAATTATTTCCAATCGTCTCGTATCTAGTAGCAATCAAACCTTGCCGACGATTTTGCTTTTTTGATCGGCTAATCGGAGCGGCCCGGTGCGACCTTAGGGACCATAACAACTAGCGGCGGGTTAGTTTTGATTGGAGAACACGGAAACTGACGTTTTCATTGAAGCAGCTTACTGCAATCCTCAACATCAACAGAAGCAATTTGAAGAAAGCCATACATGATTACCCGATAATATATCTTTCAGCGTATTGCGGTTCAAGCAAGACCAAACAGTGAAAAGCGGTAGGCATTAGCGGATGCAGTCGCTAACAGCATTTGTGAGTCCCAGTATGGCCTGGATGCCTTCCTAATCTTCGAATCTTGGTTCAGAAGATACGAAGCCATTTTCCAGTCCGAATCTGCCGACGCTGATGACGATTGGAAGTGCAGATTGCTTTTGCAGAAGCTGGGAATCAAGAAGCACAATAAGTTTCCTAATTTTCTTTTGCCGAATTGCCCTAAAGATTTTAACTGTGACCAACTTGTGCCTCTGTTAAATGATACTTTTGGTGAACAGTCATCCTTACTCAGCTCGTACAGTGCACTTCAGACGATTTCGTAACCTTCGCGAGTACTGTCAACCGCCATTGCAACATTTCCAAGCTAAAAGATATGACAGACGATCAGTTCATAGACCTTATTTTCGTTTGTGGATTCTAAGCGTCAGAGAATGCCGAAATACGTATGAGGCTGCTTAGCGAAATTGAGCAGGACCCGTCTATCAGTCCCGTGACCATCACCTCCGAATGCCAGAAGTTAATTAACTTAAAACACGATAAGAACCTGGTTGCCCAAGGCCGCAGTCCGTGTCCCGTAAATGTGCTGGTGGTGTCAAACCAGTGCGGAACTCCAGCGACGGTCCAAAACACAGTGAAGTCAAACAGACCGCCATCCGCATGCTGTTAATTTAGCGAACGACACTTCGTCAAATTATACCCGTTCAAGAAACATCTTTGTCAGTAATGCAACAAACGCGGTCTCAAGGAGGATCATTGCCATGCAGCTGTTTCCAACAATAACGTCTCCAGTAACTATTCCAAAAAGCCTATACGCACATCGTTAACAAAATGAACATCCAGGCTTTATCCTGATCATTTTAGCTTCGATGCAGGGACAGAAAGGCGCAGTAGTTATGTGACAATGGTTACGTACAGTGTACCCGCGCGCCTTCAAGTAATCATAGCCTCAGATATCACGGTCATATGCGAGGAAACAGAAGGAAATTGTTGAACCCCCTGTTCAAAGAACAACTCGGTTTGCAACCAATGCTTCAGGAGGACAACAACCTAGCCGGTGCAATTTATTGCCCTATAATGTTCAAAGACTGCCAGTTCGAAGGGCTTTGCTGCGCAACACAGCACTCAGACAGCCTATTCTGTCTCGATTGGATTGACAATATGAAACTGCCGGAT